CGCGGCAGGGGGTTCAGGGATTCGCAGGGGGCCGAGCCAAATCGCCGTCGGTCAGTCTGGCCGCCCGCCTAATGCAATCAGGGTCTCCCACCGGCTAACTCCTCAATAAACCCAAACACCTCCCCACAAAGCGCTCCCCAAGGCCGTGTCCTAATCAAGCTTCCCGGCTCCCGGAGTGGAGAATCAGGACACAGACGCCTGTCCTGGCTCCCGCTGGTCCCTGCACCCCTGGTCGCTGGGGGAAGGAAAGCACAGGGGGGCACCCGTCTTGGCATGGGCTGCCAGCCCCAAAAAGCAGGGACTCAATAAACCCAAACACCTCCCCACAAAGCGCTCCCCAAGGCCGTGTCCTAATCAAGCTTCCCGGCTCCCGGAGTGGAGAATCAGGACACAGACGCCTGTCCTGGCTCCCGCTGGTCCCTGCACCCCTGGTCGCTGGGGGAAGGAAAGCACAGGGGGGCACCCGTCTTGGCATGGGCTGCCAGCCCCAAAAAGCAGGGATTTTCACACTAGGTTGATCCAGGAGTAAATCACATGCATGCATTTTCATCCTAGAAGTGCAATTGCTCCCATCCAGACTGGATTTGGCATCCAGGAGTTGCTGGGTTATTCCAGCCTCATGAGAATTTGCATCCATCCCTGGAATGAGGGGCTGCACAGGGCCGTCCACACGTACCTGGGAGGGCATCACCTCTGCGTTGGTGCCACAGATCTTCACCCCCGCGTAGAGACATGCCTTGTAGTGGGACTCCACGATATCGCGCCCGTACACCTTATCTGCTCCAACCCCGCAGTAATAGGGGCCTGGAAAGGAACAAAGAGTTGGCACCCAAGCAAAGCTTTTGGGAGCAAAAACTGCGGTGTAATCTCACCGCTCCCAGGTACCAGCCATCACCTGTAGAGGATTTATGGGAATTAAATGGTGCTGCCATCCACAGTGCATCGAGCCACCAGGACCAGCACTATGAGCAATTCATCTGGGCAACCTCAGCCTTATCTAGGCAGTTAAACAGGACTTGTAATGCATCAGCTGGGAGGTGGCCAGGAGATAAGGGAAGCTTGGCTTGGTCTGCCCTGCGGCACCTCGCTGACCCTCTGACTGCATCAAGTGTCCAACAGCAAAGGTTGTTCTGCCGGCAGCCGACGTGGTTCGCGGCTAGAAAATTCATGGTTTTATACAGCTCTTCTTTATTCAAGCAGGTCAGACAGAGATCTCCCTGCCTGGTGGGAAATGTTGAAAGCGGCCAGTCCCCACAAAGGGTGGATTAAGTCAGGTTGGGAAACCCCTGGCCCTCTCCCAGGAGGCAGCTGAGGCTCTGGGACTTGCTTCTCGCTGCAGGAGGGCGCAATGTGCCGGCCCCTTCCCGAACAGCCACGGGGAGGAGGTTTTTGCAGCCGAGTTCTCCAGCCCTTGCCAAACAAGTTGTGCAGCTGAGTTGTTTGTGCAACCAGGGTCCGGTGGGAGCGGCACTGCCGGCCAGCTCACATGAGCCGTGGAGCAGCCGGTGCTCTCGGCAAACAGCTCCTGACCTCATCCCGGCTCCTGCTCGGGAGAAAGCTGCACCCAAGGCTGGGGACGGCAGCAGCCCCCCACGCAGCAGGGTGGGAGATAAGGGGAGCATTTGGGTTGGGAAAGGGAAGGAGCACTTACCCTGCGGGCCGGGGAAGCCGTTGTCGGGCCAGCCATAGGGGTGGCCGTTGATGCCCAGCAGTGTGTATTCCTGCTCCATCCCGAACCAGGGGTGGCTGTCCTTAACCAAGTCCATTATTTTCTTGCACGTGTGTCTCAGGTTGGTCTCTAGGAGCAGGGAGGTCAGGGTTAGACCCATGCCACGGGTAGGTGCCAACCATGTTCTGCTCCGTCCCTCTCACAGATCGAGGCTCCACCACTGCCAAGTGCTTCTGCAGAAGCCTTGAGGAAACCAGTGAGCAAGTCCTCGCTTCCTGCAACACTCCCCGCTCGCTGGTTTCCTCCTCACAGAGCTACTCCATTGCCACAGCATCAGGCCACAGACCAAGAGGGCTTAATCAGCCTGCTCCTCAAACCTCCACCAACAGTCCACCAACATCCTCCTCTTACACGCCAAAAGATGGGCCATACTCCAGCCCTGTCCTACAGGTGTCTGGCAGATCTGGGAACAGCGACTGTACATCTCCCATCACTGCTTCAACTCTTCAGCTGTTTCTACCAGCTTCAGCTTAATCATCCTTATCTTTCTTCAGCTCTGTGATTTTGGCTCACTTTCAGGCTGGCTGTCCCTATCTTGGCCCTTCGTGGTGCTCAGGGCAACCAGGGCTCTGCCAGGAAGATAGAGCTATGAGAGAACCACTCTGACATGGGACCACGTGCCAGGTAAGGGGAATGAGAGCTTGGACAGAAACAGCAGGGGAAAAGAACATTGAAAAACTGTTTTCACAGGGACAGGCAGCCCCCAGGCTGCAAACTCAGCCTTTAAATAGCAGTAAAAAAACCCCAGAGGAGCTACAAAATACGCCCAGAGTGTGGTGCTTGAAGAGGAGCAGTGACATCTCCCTTGCACTGATGGGAAATAGGGGGGAAAGGCAGTTTTGCCCTCAGCGCCCTCAACAGTCACGGAAATCCACCCTGGGAAGAGCTGGGGGGTGCACCCCAGGTCTGCTCGGTGCTGAGCTCTCTGCCCCAGCTCTGAATTCGGGAGCTTCAGGGCCATTACAAGTTGCTCCAGTGAAGGAGCTGCCGGGCAGGAATCTCTACCAAGACACTTCCCCCATGGCTGAAAGGCATGACGCTGTTGAAGAGGAACCAGCCCCGTCTTTCGCCATCACTGCCCGCAACCTCTACCCTCCCCAGCAGATGTGTGCATCACCCCACAGACGCCGTCTCCCTCCCCCACACCCTGCAGGGACACGGCCTCTCTTTTCCGGCAAATAGTCGGTTATTTGCCAGCACAGAACCCCTCTGGGAGCCCCCCAGTGTGTCCCTGCAAACTGGCTCCCCCTCCTCTGTCTGGGGCTTTATCAGACGGACAGGACAGACACCGGAACTGCAGACTTCTGCCTGTGGTGATAAGACCAAGGGCCGGAACACTTTGGGACCGTTCACAAAAGGTCCCCCCCCGGAAGCCTGTGCTGCCCCAGCATCTTCTCAAAAAAAAATCAACAAGGACAGTGGCCACAAACCCAGTGTGTTAAAACCCCCGCTGGTTCCAGCTGCCCTGTGGTGACTCTGCAGCCCCGGGGAGTGGGTGTGCTCATGCTCAAAAAAACCGGGTGACGCCTCTGGTGTGCTCGACTCAGCGAGCGCCACGAGCTCCACATCTCTCTGCTCTTCTTGCCCTGCGCCACTAAAACAGGTTCCTGCAAACAACCACCACCACTTGAATTTTGGAGCCTCAGGGGAAGCTCCCTGGGACTAAGCTGCTCCCCAGTGCCAGCGGTCCCTCAGAGAGACGGCACCCTAAATATTAAAGGGGAGACCCTGGGGAGGTGGGGACTGCGTGCCGGGGGGCTCACCTGCGGGTTTCCTGTTGTACTTCAGCACTTCGCAGAGCACCAGCTTGTTGGGGTCCAGGCAAAAAGGGTCCCTGAACATGCGGACGGGCACCAGGAACATGTCACTGTTGGAGCCCTCTGCCTGCGCCGTGCTGGAGCCATCGAAGTTCCACTCGGGGACATCTGGGAGGCAAGAGAGGGACAGAGCAGGAGCAGGATTGAGAAAAGGTCTCTCTCACACAGACCACGCCAAGTGCTGGTTGCTTAGACCCAGGATGGAGTGTCCGGAGGGCACTGAGTGCCACACGATGATGGCCACAAAGGTTTTCTCGCACATCCCCAGAGCCCAGTGGTGGCCCCTGAGCATCAGTGTGTCCAACATCCTC